CCGGATCAAGCGAATACCCAGCCAGAGGGAATGACGACGTCGCGCATGGCACCCCTGGCATGGTCCAAGGCTTCCAGCATGGACGCGATCCCCACATCGAGGCTCTCCCGCTCCATGCTCTCGGTGGCATCGTCAAGGGTGAAGAGCGTCGACGTCGGCTCCTAGGGATTTGTCCACCGGAGCAGGGGCTCGCCCTGTGCGGGTGAGTTGCTGCCTACCAACGTTAGGGGCAGGGACAATTCCCCACCGGTCCTCTGCCACCACCATGACATCTGGGGACCCCTCGGCCACGTCCCCCTCCATCCAGCTCACGTCAGGAGCCGTCGCTTGGGCCGCCGATGGCACGGGTTGCGCCGCTGCCTCGGGCACCGCCACGGTTGCGTCCGGCTATGGCCCGCCTGTCACGGTCGGCGTCGGCAGGGTCTTGACTAGCCGCATCGCGCCTACCACGGTCAGCGTCATGAGCGCGGTCGGCAGCCCCGTCCGCCCCATCATCGACAGCGGTATCACCTCCATCGCCGGCTATTATGCGACCTTCGAAGGCGTTCCTTTAGCCCCCGCGCCCGCTTGTCCAGCCAAGGGCACGGGCACCAAAGTGGGCGGCGCCTGACCGGTCGGCGACACAGTCACACCGACGCCGCTCCCGCCCAAAACGGGTGCGATGCCAGCCAATGGCTGCCACCTCGCTTGAAGGGCAACGCTCTTCTTTAGCACCAGCGCCAAAGGATTACGCCGCCCCACGACACTGCAAGAAACGAAAAGCATAAGTCACGATGAAATCCGACCAAAATAGGGAAAACAGAGGAGCTGATGACTCACCTCGACGCTGTCGGGCGATAGATACGTTTGGGGGGTGAACCCCCAGACCTCTGCTCCGCCTCGTCGGGGCGAGGACGTTTCAAGCCCGCCCCCTGCTCCTGGGCAGAGGGGCTCGCTCCCCTTGGATCTTAGAGCGTGACGCTTCCGCTGGCACCTCGGGCGCGGTGGCAGATCCGCCTGCTCCTGTTGACTCCTGCAAGGATGAGCCGATACCTGTCAGCACATCCTCGCTCTCCAGGTCATCCCACTCGATGTCACCGACTACCTCGTCGTCGTCTTCCTCATCATCATCGTCGTCGCTGTTGGTGTCCTCCCCTCGCTCCCACGCTTGCAGCTTCCGCTGCCTCTTCTTCCTCTTGTCCTCCTTCACCTTCCTCAGCCGCTCGCCCTCGGCGCGATTCGCCGCCCTCACAGATGAATCCCTTAGCAATGGAGCCAGGTGATCCGTGAGGACGAGGTCCCTAGGCTGGTCTTGTCCCTCTCAATGTTAGTATCAAGAGATCGGGGGATCAATTGAAGAGGAGGCATAAGGAGGGGAAACTTACGAAGACGACATGGCCTGGATCCGGCCGCATCGGAAGATGCCTCGGCACCAGATAGATGAAATCGAGGGGGGCGCCCGCGTCATCCCACGAAGGCTCCATCGCCTCCTTAATGCGCTACGCGACCTCGGAGTGGGGGAGCACTCCCTCGGCAAGCGCCGTCCCGTCGAATGATGCCTCGAGCACCATCGCGTACAGCGGGAGCACGCGCCTCATCAACGGCGCCACCCTCCTTGCATGGTAGGCTCCGATGATGCCTGACCCCTTCAGGCCGCTCTCCTTCAGGATGCGGATGGCGGCGAGGTGGTCCTAGATCTTCTTCTTGTCCTTCTCTGGGACACCCCACTTCCTCCATGACTCTAGGGCCTCTTCAATCAGGCGCCCGGTGAACTCCGACAGGGGGGCGGCGGCGGCGTTCTTGAGATAGAACCACTACGAATGGCACCCCTTGTTGGAGGTCGACAGCCGCATCGACGGGTACTCGCCGACCTGGTTGTTCCGGAGGTGGATGCCAGCGCATCCCATAGGCGTATGCAGCTCCTGCCTACCGCTCTTCTCCTTCTTCTTCTGGAGGGTGACGGTGAAGAAGTGTCCCCATAGATTGAAGTGGGGACTGATCCCCAAAAATCCCTCGCACAGGGCGACGAACACCACCACATGCTGGACCCCGTTGGGATTGAGGTGCTGCAGCTCGATCTTGTAGTGATCCCCCGAAGAAATCTATGGGCGGGGGTCGCAAACCGACGCTCATGGAAGTGGGCGAACGACACCACATAGCCGTCGGACGGTGACGATAGCTCCTCGCCGGGCAGCAACCACTCCTCGGCCGATGTCCACGCACGGAGAAGACCGCGACGGACAAGACCTTCCATGCACTGGAAGGTAATGTCGAAGCGGCACCATGGATCCATTGGAGGTGGGGACAGTTGGATGCAGGCTCGACAGTGGTGGGGATGCGTAGACGGGGAACCCTAGGCAATTGGTGGCGGCGGTCGTGGCTTCAGAAGCAAGGATGCAAGGTATCGAACCCTGGAGGTGAACCCTTTTATTTTATAGGGGCGATGGATGCGAGGAAACCAACCGTCTGCCTAGATCTCCGTGCTTACCACGATCCGCCACAACGTCCCGCCGTGGGAAGTGCGCCCACAATCCCTATCCGTTCCCTCGAAAGACTCGCCGGACGTTTCGCCTCTCCAGGCAGGCCACGACTCGTCACAAGTAATAGGGATACGGATCGAAAACACCTCCATGGCCCGCCTGGCCCCCGGAGTTCGAAGGTTTGGCCCATGGAACGGTTTCGACAACCGCTCCGGGCACCCTTAGAATAAGGGATGGGCCCGCAAGCGGCTAGTACCCAGGCGCACGAGCGCCACGGGCATCTCGACTCACTTTTGAGTCTTGGCCGGTTACGATCCATGGTTTTTCCTCGAAGAAAGGCACTTAGCCCTCGGAACCGGTCGAACGGACCTGAGAACTATACGGATCGACCGCCAAGAATCTGGAGTTGATCACCAAGCTAACCCTAGATGGATCCCCACGAATGGGATGCTGGGACCACAGTCGAACTAGCCAGCAAACAAACCACCAAGTCTCACGACCATACCCGCGAAGGGTTAGACCTCAACAAGAGGGAATCACCATCCCTAGGTCATGCCGTGGGCAACGAAGGAAGGTCAGGGCCCTCAAGAGTCCTCCCTTTTGGAAAAAACCTCCGAAGGAGTATTCTACTCCTCCGCAGGCTCGAGGGCTACTGTCGGGGACCAATACTAGGGTACCCAAAGAGGAGGAGCTAGTAACCAGTAACGTTGATTCATCCGAGTGGTCAATAGCGTGACTACACCTCTTGCTAGGCTCTGCCTCGTCCAACCAACGAGGCCCGGGCTCCGCCTCGTCCGACCACCGAGGCCACGACCTCTGCCTCGTCTGACCACCGAGGTCGCGGGCTCTACCTCGTCCGACCACCGAGGCCACGGGCTCTGTCTTGTCTGACCCCCCGAGGGTTGGCTCCGCCTCGCCTGACCACCGAGGGTTGTCTTCGCCTCGACTGACCCCCGAGGGTTGGCTCCACCTCGGCTGACCCCCGAGGGTTGGCTCCGCTTCGGTCGACCCCCGAGGGTTGACTCTGCCTCGTCTGACCCCCAAGGGTTGGCTCCGCCTCGGCTGACCCCCGAGGGTTGACTCCGCCTCGTCCGACCCTCTGAGAGCTGGCTCCGCCTCGACCGACGTCTGGGGGCTGCTTCCGCCTCGCTCGATCCCTCGAGCACGGCTCCTAACGGAAGCTCATGCCGCCGTCAACCACTACGGGCCAGAAAGTACAACCCAAGGTCAAACTTCTGACATCGTGCAGGGAGTGGTCACGTCTCAACACGACCCGTCCCCGCGACATGTCATTCCAGGGAACTCACATCACCCACAGTGATGGACGCGTGGTCACTATGCTGTCTACTCCCTATACGGCCGCTAATCAGCACAATAGTTCGCCGCGCTGCCCGCCGAGACAGAGTGGGACGTCACGACCCGTTGACAATGCTAGGGCATGGCATCATCGATGGACAGGCGCCCGACGTGGAGCTATCCCTGTCACTACCTACCGTGTCAGTGGGACCCGTGCAAAGGAAAAGAAAGGCCCGACGACCCTGAAGGACTTTCTCTCTCTCATTCTCCCGCTGTAACCCGTGCTTTCTCTTGACTTATAAAAGGAAAAACAGGGCATCCCACTAAAGGGGATGAGATCAAGACCACTAGCATCAAACCTCGAACACATAGCTGAGCAGTGACCGAGCTCTCGGTATCCATTCATTCTTTCCACCAGAGACTTAGGACATGTCCCTCTCTCGCCTGTTTGTAACCCCTACTACGAACTCTCAGTGCTACTAACACGAGCAGCAGCAACGAACTAGACATAGAGACATTCTGCCCGAATCAGTATAAACCTCGTGTCCTCTTAGCACACCATCCGGGCCAGACGCGCAATATTACAAATTTACTCGTTGATATTTACACGAAACACCGACAATGAGTGGTTCCTCCGGACAATAAACTCTATTCTTTTCTAATACACTGAAAGATATACCAATAATTGAGACATTAGGTTCATGGAGTTTAATGCAGTTATGGCAGCATTTTTTATTAATTATTAAGCTGCTAAAGCATATAAAACATAGTTAAAAATTTGCCTGGAACTGAACCATCTATTTTGTGCTTAGTTTGGGTCATAAATGATGAGACCTTTTGATTATTTGCAGGCATGCATTCACAAGGCAAATCAACGGCACTATACAGAATACAAAACAAACTGATCCAGTGAGACCAGCTCACAATCATGAATCAGTCTGATTAAGCTGAATGCAATAACATATATGCAGAATTATTTTATGATTTATAACAGAAGTTAACAAGTGGTAAACACAGGCCAAGATAAACTATGTCCTGTATTACTCCCCATGCCAATAATATGCACATGGGGCACATTATCCTTTTAGAGTTCCTGAACTCCTATAGCTCAGATTACGTGCTAATACCATAATAAGATAATGTCTAAGCATTAGTATCACATATGCATTATATATGTGTCATGGAAAATAGTTTAAGTCGCAAAGGCATTGTTCCTTCCCAAGTCCATCCAAGGTCTATCCGTGTCTAACCGTCATTGGATGACCCGATGATGGTGACATCTGCCTTCAGCATACAGTTTGATCCCACAATATAGCAGCTAAATGGATCCATGAGTGTCTTGAGTGGAATGAAGTTGGACCATCCCCAGCCAATCTTTGCTGCAACTCCAAACACGAAGCGACCTGCGTTTGCGGCAAAGTAAGGTCGTATCCAAACAAAAGTAGCCACTAGTCAATAGTAATGTTGATAGATATTATGGAGAGTTGAACCTGTAACTGTGTAGTGCCCCTCATGCTTCTGGTCCAAGATGGAGAGAGTCAGTTCAATCACCATCCCAGTCTCAAGAGGGATCTTGTTCAGATCATGCAGGTGTAAGTAGAGGGAAAGTGAATTGGTGCTGTATTGGTCACCAAGTGGGTACATGTTGATGTACCTGAGAAGGAATGAACACAATCTGTCATTACCATTAATGCTTGACAGGTAAGAAAAGAAAAGAAGAAAGTATGATGCTAGGCTCCTTGGAAGGTGATGCTGTTGGCGGACTTGTGCCCAAGCCAAGTGACAGTTAAACAAAATTAAGCTTCCAGAAACAATAGATTTAATAGACTGGAATATAAATGGCTGTTCAAAACATACCAGTACTAGTGCTGTTCAAAACATACCAGTACTAGTGTTTGGCTCCATATATAGAGATAACACTACAATTTAACTAGAATACAAAAGACTCCCATTATCTCAAAATACAAGGCGTGGTTTGACTTGGTACAACCATTAAAGATCACATTTTTGCTGCTATTTTTTTTATAGTATATCATTTGCGGCAACAAAAGCTTAATCATTAGAAAGTACTAGCAAATATAACCGTGATTTGTAATGGAACATTCAGCTTGTTTCAGGGTCACCTAGAAGACTTACGACTAGGAGATTTATGCAACTATCACATCATCTAATCCAATACATCTTGGAGTTGGACTCCATACTGTGGCTAGACGTGTGTTGTTAACTCGTATGAGCACATGTTGTAAGTTTAGGTCATGGACAAAGAAGAGAGGTGCACGAGGGCATTGTAGAAAGTAAAATATGATGGACCGAAGAATCCACTTTGATTTTAAAATTAATTATGATCTATAGATTTCTAAATATGAATCCAGTGTAACCACTTTTGTAGTACACACTTTTCACATGTTTGACTAATTTTTTGTCAAAGATAACAAAGTTCAAGTCTTGAAATATGTGCACGCGTTATATTTCGGGATAAAGGAGTAGTGAAAATATCTAAAGGAGCAAGAGAGATTGTGTTGCAAAAAGAAACCCACACATGATTATATAGTATACAACATTCACTAGCACTCCCTCCATTTCAAATTATAAGTCATTCTGGCTTTTCTAGGTACATTATTTTTGCTATGGACCTAGATATAAGCTATGTCTAGATACATAATAAAGGGTAAGCTATGTATCTAGAAAAGCCAGAATGACTTTATAATTTGGAAGGGGGAGAGTAAGTAATAATAAGTAATAATGTTGGTGGCATGAATAACTTTTTTTTTTGAAGAACCAGCATGAATAACTATTACTACCACCTGAATGGAAGGATACTTGCACACTGAATGATTAATGCCATATGCATATTATATGAACCAAATACACTGGAACAAAAATAGATGCATACCATTTATGCCGACCAGCTTCAAATGCAGGAGAACAGACTGGGACCTTCTTGTCAAGGAAGTTGTTCATGGTCCAGGTGTAGGTTCCTTTGATGAACCCCTTTTTCTGGAGGAAGATGTTCTGAACTGTGATAGGCTTCTTTGGAATCACAATAGGCTTATTCTGAGAAGAGACATGTGCCTTTAATATCCTCACACCAAAGACACAGCTATCATCAACCAGAAAATCAGATGATTTCAGTAGTTCTTCAAGAGGAATCAAGCATTGTTTCTCTGATCGCTTGTTCTTGATATCGAAGTGGTAGCTAGCTGCTCATAGATAAAGGAAATATAACAGTATTAGAAATATGCGTTGAAGATTAGGTACTCGTATGAATCTGTAATCTACAAATTACCCAAGCACAATGCAATCTGTTTCCACTCCTAGTTAACTATTTTAATTAATTTAAAAAGTAGATAAACAGGTATGCAGGGCTAGCCTTTTGTGAACTGCAACAACAGAATGACCAAAATAGTAACAGCAGCATGTCTATTTACTCTGAAATATTGATCAAATAAGAAGACAATATGAAGCGAACGAAATAGTGAGAAAATCTAAAAGATAATGTGGTGAGTATTTGACCATATATCAGATTCCATACCAATTGAGTTGCAAGGGTAAATTATAATATGATGCTCAGTAGTTTCAGTTTCAGGGAGCTATGGCCGAAGCTTATAGAGCATGGATAAGGACTCCCATTTGTAATAATATGTTTGGGCTTGACATAATTTCAGAAACTACCTTTGCATCCATGATATGTCCCTTTTGAATGGTTGCACATTGACAACTCGAACACAGCGGTCAAGATGTCACCTGACTTTAAGTCGTTTTGGTACACCGAGAGCGAAAGAGCAATATGTGGAGTCTTGTGACCAGATTTTTTATGCATTGGGCTCACTTGCAGGAACCTGTTAAATGAATTAATGAGCAGATATGTTACTCAGATTAGTAATCAATGCTGCAGAAAACAGAAGGCTTTTCTTGAGGACTGTGAAGGGGAGTTTGAAATTTTACAGCCATGAAGTTTACATTTACAAAAACATCATTTGTGACTACCTGACAGTCTGCCAAAGGGCGCCTAGCTCAATCGGTTAGGTGACCCAGCGGCACTCCTCAGGTCCTGGGTTCGACTCCCCGTGGGAGCGGATTTTAGGCTGAGGTTAAAAAAATCCCCTCGCCCGTCCCCATGTGCCAAAGCGCAGTGGAAGGCTCCGGCCCGGTTCTCACAGGGTTACGGCACCTCCTGCGTCAGGACGGGGGCGGGGGTTTTCTCGATCTGTGTGAGAAGATCTTCTTTTTAACGGAAAACCCGGGGGCCGTCATAACCCCCCGCAGGTCGAGTTTTTTTTTTTTTTTTTTGACTACCTGACAGTCTAATTAATATTTTTGACAGACAACTATGTTATCTTCCCAAATAAACTAGATAAGATTTTGAGTGTGTGCATGGTGCCTGCTTAATATGGATTCATTTCGAGTATGGTACATACCAACCATATCCACAACAGCGAAAAATGGCAGAATTGGCTGATACAGCCCCCCTATCAAGTAGAGCTGAGAAGCCATAGACCTTCCATTTGAAAGCTGGATCATGGGCCTTTCCCAGCAGTGCAGGAGCTGAAATCGTTACAAGAACAATCACACAAAGTTTGAGAAAGGCAAAGGGAAAATGTAGAGATTACATGCTATGAGGAGATTAGGGAGCATGCTAGTTCAAAATAATAAACTCCAAATTAGAAAGTTTAAGAAAGGAAATGGCAGACAGAAGAATAGTTCTGTATAGAAAATAATATTGCATTCAACTTCGAACTGTCTTGATCAAAATATATAACACAACCGTGATAATTGGTTACTTGGCCAAACAAAAGTAATGATCTATGTGCTTTTGCATAGCTTACCACATAATACACACACTACTCTTTCTGCACAATCCATAGATAAATAGATATCTTAGAAAGTTAAGCATTTTCATATATTTCCAAAATAAATCTTCTAGGCAATAGCACACGCACATGCCATTGTTCATAGTATTCTACGCATTGTAACATTGATAACGCAAAATCATAGTAGTAGTAGGTGGCAGCGGTGTCATTAAGACCTAAAGTATCTGTTATGTTTTTTTCCGTGCATCAAACAAAAAAAAAGAAGAATTTTTTGGAGAGCAAGGGTTCCAGTTTTGCTCAACTATATATTCAAGGGATTATCTCAATTTCTTTTCCTGATAGAAGGATTATCTCAATGTCATCGAAAACAAGTCATATGAGGAGGCATCTGAATCTAAAACACAAATCAACCAAAAGAACTATGATGAAGTATTGACCTTTCAAAATAAAAAAGATCAACGTTCTAGCAGAATAATTCAATCGACAAGCAAAGGAAGCTCAATTGGATCCTTACAGGCACCAGTGACGCAAGAGTTGCCCATGGCTGTTCCAACTCCTCTGCTCAGAAATCCTCTGCAGGTGAAATCAATCGCCGTGCCGTAAGCAAAAAGTGCAGAGTTAAGAATCAAGAGCAAACAGTGGTTATAGGTAAAACTCCCATCCTACAAACAAACAGATAGATCAAAACTTTATAAGAAACAAACTTTACTCTGGAGAACGAACAAACCGCTCCCCTCCTATTGCCACGGAAGCTACGAACTTGCGTTGCCGAAAACACAAACAACCCGCGGACACTAGATCGGGCTACTCCAGAAAGCGATCAAGTCCCTTCCTTTCAATTCCCCTCGATGTACTTTTTACGGACCTGATTGCAGAAGAAGATAAACCAAAAGAGCAGAATTTGCTACGGATCGGGAGACGACTCGAAGAGAGAGAGGGGATCGGGGAGAGACTGAGCACACGCACCTCGTCACCACGCAATGCTTTCCGCGGCGGGTGAAACCCTTGGCCGCAGTGGCGAGGGGTTTTTGGAGGCGTGCAGGGCAAGGGGGAGAGACTTTGCCTTGTTAAGGTGGTGTTGGGATCCATCGACTAAAATGAAGAAGGTATGTCGGGAGGATACTGTATGAGGTGTTTGGATATTAATAAAAAAATAAAATACATAATCCGTCAGTATTCTACGAGACGAATTTTTTAAGTCTAATTAACCCGTCATTAGCACATGTTTACTGTAGCACCACATTGTCAAATCATGGACTAATTAGGCTTAAAAGATTCGTCTCGCAAACTATGCAATTAGTTTTATAATTAGTCTATATTTAATACTCCATATATGTGTCCAAACATTCGATGGGACAACGACTAAAATTTAGGAGACGCGACCAAACACCGCCTAACACAGAGAAGCAGAACAATCGTGAACAGAGAAGGGGCAAAACTGACATTTCAGCATGTACTGTTGGCTAAGTTTTATTGGATGTACGTGGCTAGGTTTGGTAGTTAATTTAGCCTACAATAGTACTTCCTCATATAAAAGATGTAATTATCATGTTTAGAGGATAAATTAGTGAACAACTAAGGTTGTATATGTCTATTCTTCCATCATGTAAACTAGTTTACAAAAGTTTATTATTAAAAGGTTATTTATAAAATCTTGGTTCATGGATGTTTGGATCCCTAGATAGTAAAAGCTTGAATGAGATGCTTTTGAAAGTAAAATGTCTAAAGTACCCTTACTCTTTAGCTGTAGAGTGCAACTAGGAGAAAAACATAAGGACAAGATGATTTTTTTGTTATCTAGAATTCTCTCAACTTATGGACTATGGAAGTTGGTTGTAATTGAATTATAGAAGCTAAGGTAAAAGCTAGGATGTTTGGACTATCTACTACCCCCTCCATTTCAAATTATATATGTCATTCCAACTTTCTTGGAGAGTCAAAGCATCTGATACCAAATAAATATCATTAGATTTTTCATTAATTATATTAAAGGAATCTTGTGGCATCCAAATAGATTCAAAATTGATGTGTATGTTTCTTCTATTTTTATTATCCCAATGTATTGATCGGATCAAGATAAATCACTGCATCCACAAACACAATATTCTCTTCGTCCCCAAATTATTTAACTTTTAGAGTAGTCCTAAGTATAATGTAAAATAGATTTATAGTATATTTAATTATATTGATTTTGTGTCATAAAGCATTGGTGTTTTCGGTAAATTTGGTCAAATCTATAAAAGTTTGACTGATGAAAATTATAGAATTTAATTTATTTGAGGACTGATGGAGTAGTTTGTTACCATCATGCATCTACAAGACACTCTTTTTTAGATACCATACATACCTAGAGTTGATGATCCCACCAGTTATGCTTTGTTAGGACAATGTTTGAATGTTACATTTGTATTCTTTTTTTCGATCCCAAGTAGTAACAAAAACTCATAACAGAGCACTGTGGTGGTGCACAAGCTATTGTCTTCTTTCACCTAAGGGTCAGTTTTGGCAGAGCGTCCAACCCACTTCGCCCGCTCCAGCTCCAGCTCCCCACTAGTTCCACACCTGTTTGGTGGAGCTGCCTCAACAACTCCCACTCCTAACCCGCTAGAGGAAGAGGGGGAAGCTACGATGGTGCAAGGAGACGGCACAAGAAGGAAGACAACGGCAGGCTCGGTCTCAGTGACAACGACGATGACAGGTTGAATCTCGATGAGCTCGGCGATAGAGAGGAGCTGCCCGACAAAGAAGAGTGTGGCAAAGGCGGGGGAGAGCGCAACGAGGTGAAGAGGGGCGTGGGGAGGCAAAGAGGAGCGCAATAGTGGAGAGTGGGTTTTTTCCGCTCTTGCCCGCATTGCAAAAGAGAAGCGGTGGGAGCGCTTCTCGGGTGGTTACGTGGAGCGACGGCGTTTGGCAGCGCTCCGCCGATTCTCGCAAGAGTGGAGCAAAGGAGTGCTACCAAACTAGGCCTAAAATAGAGAGAAGAGTTCGTTGGCATATGTCGGTTCTACCTGCATGAGATTTCCCACTAAGAACCTATTGTTAGTAAATGTCTCGTGATTGTAATGTACTTCCCCGCTTTCAGAAAGGCCGTAATTCTAGATTTAGGGTCAGTCAAACTTTTTAAAGTTTAATCAAATTTATAAAAAATACTCTCAATATTTATATCTCTAAATAGGTTTTATATGCAAATATATTTTATAATTAATATAATGATACTTCTTCAAGTCCTAAATGTACTTTTATACATGTTTTGTCAAGCTTAAATACGTTTTACTTATTGGTAGGGATGAAAACGGATCGGATACGAACGGATATCACTCATATTATATTTGTTTTCGTATTTCTGTTCAGATTCGGATTCGGACACGGATAGCGTTCGGATACATATACGAATACGGATTGACTCGGTTACGGATACGAATAATGAGTATCGAATACGGTATGAATCGGATTCGGAGAAGGTCAGATACAAATATCTATTCGGATATTGAGTAAAAGCAGCATATATATATATATATATATATATATATATATATATATATATATATATATATATATATATATATATATATATCATACGTGCGCAAACCATTACACCACTCTATGAGTCCATAATCCATCTAGATTAAGCCGAAAGACTAAAGAGTAAAGCAACAAATAAGATAAAATACAGATACATCATATATCAAACATCATACAAGCACCAATCTTCGCGGCATGAGTAGAAATAGCCAAGCTCATGACTTCATGGGTCTCATGGAGTCATGGTCATGGATTCAAGATCTACAATCCTTATATAGACCTTTTTTTTTGAGAAAGTTTGAACAAAATGTAGTTTAAATTTCACAAGTGTGTGACATAGTTTTAGAAAGTCTGTATGAGATTCAAGAATTTGTGACTAGTGTTTGATAAAACTTTCTCAAATGGGAAAATGAGCTATGTAACAATTGTAGATCTTGCTGAGATGATCAAACTTGGTATTCAGAGTTTTTTCATCTGAGGTCATTTAGTGTCTCATTTGAGCAAGTTTGACCAAGTCAAATTTGGTCAAATGAAAAAACAACACTTTGACTCTAGTATTATGAACTCTAAATGACTTCAAATTGAAAAGTTTTGAATACCAAGTTTGTTCAACTCATCAAGATATACAATTGTTGTTTTGGTCAACTTTACATTTGAGATAGTTTGGATGGTTCAAATTTGTGATTTTTAAATTTTGACGTCTATAAACTAGTTTTCCATTTGAGAAAGTTTGGACGGTTTAAATTTTGAAGCACTAAATGATTTCAAACGAAAAAGTTGTAAACAATAAAGTTTCATAACTTTTTGAGATCTACAATTTTTATTTTGATCATTTCTCCATCCAAGGTCGTTTGAATAATATCCGGATAATATCCGTTTTTAAATATCCGGATATATCCGATACTTAACCGGATTATCCGGTATCCGCCGGATATCGATGATATTACATCCGTATTTGATATCCGCCTAAGATATCCGTTTTAGTATCCGTATCCGAAAAAAATTACGGATATCCGAGTAACTATCCAGATAAGTGTTCATATTTGTTCGGTCGAACGGACGGTCGAATAAATATCCGTACCGTTTTCATCCATACTTATTGGTAAGTGAGAATTGTTTTCTTATGGAGGAAATATGTACAAGCGACAACAATTGGGCAGGCTTCTAGGCCCGCACTGGCAGACCAGAAGGCCGTGTAAACGAACGGAGCAAACACATTGGCAATAGGTGGCAAAATGGGATTTGCCGAATCCAGAATAATTTCACCATCTCATTTGGCCATTCTCAGTGGTTTCAGAGTATTGTTTCCAAGCGTGTAATGCTATGAAACATGAATGGAACAATCAATATCAATATGTAGTTTTATTCTTTTGTTTCATAGATATTTATTAATTTTATGACTCGTGAGTTGGTAATGACCTGAGTCAGAGAGCTTTATCTCCTACAACTAAAAAGAATAAAACGTAGATATTTTTTGGTGCGACATTTGTTTCGGTTCATCCGTCTGCCCACGCCTGCGATACCCGCCTGCTTTGAAGGAAACAAATCGATCACCTGAGGCCATATACATGGAAGGAAACAATAATCATGTATCGAAATCATGCTGCTCTGGAATGGAGGTACATTAATGTTCTTCAAAGGACCCCCGTCTACTTTGAAGGAAACAAATCGATCACCTGAGGCCACATGCATGGAAGGAAACAATAATCATGCATCGACCTCTGCGATATTTATTTTGGTTCGTCCGTCTGCCCACCCCGACCCCTGCGATACCGCAGCTAATAAAAAAGAAAAATCCCCCCTTGTCTCTCTCGTGACCTGACGTCTGACGGCGCTCCCTCCCCCCGACGGCCGATGGCGCTCGTCCCTCCCGGCCGCGGCGACGCTCCTCCCTCGCCGGCGGCGGTGGCGCTCCTTCCTCGCCGGCGACGGCGGCGCTCCTCCCTCGCCGGTGGCGCTCCCTCTCACGGCGGCCTCCCATCTCTAGCGAAGCTTTGCGAGCTCGGCCTAGGCGCGGCCAGATGCGCGGGCACGGCGGGCCCTGGCTGCATCGCGTGGGGGTTAGGACGGCCGCGCGGCAGGTACCGTCCTATCCTAATCCCCATCTCTTCTTTCTTGCGTTGGATGCTGGATGTGTGAAACCTATCTGAATGAGGAGCTAATCTGGATGTGTTGCACATGCTTCTTTGCCTGCACTTGCTGATTATGTGTGAAACCTATCTGAATGAGGAGTGAAATGGCACGGTTGAAATTGAAACCAAATTGAAGTTGAATAATTCAGCTCTGTATGTTTCCATGGTAGTTCTGTATGTTTCCCCAATGCACGGTTGAATAATTGGGACCAATCGATTTTGCTGATTATGCATTAGACATGTATCTTAGATATGTTTGGTGGATGATATGTATGCTGAAGCTGCTCCCATGGCATTGCTGTCGTACGTTAGATTTGTAGCTGCTGCATTAAGAACATATGAACTCCGATCAAACATTGTCGACTTCGACAGATATCCGCATGGACGCCGAGTATTTTGGTCCTGACAGAAGCATGCAGCTTCTCATGAGAAGAACAAATTGAAGCAACGTGTGTGCAAGCCATCTGCAGTGTGCGTGCATGACTGCATATACGTATATGCGATTAGAAGAGGTGGAAGGGAAAGAAACTGATCTAGAGTGCAAGTGCACACGACATATCTAAGATACATATATTATGAAGTAGCTCACTGTCCCCTCCTGCCCTTTATTTTCATTTTCCAGATATATATTATGAAGTAATTAGCTTGTTATAAACGTCATATATTTGAAAACGGAAACGGAGGGAGTACTTGTGCATTTTGTGTAGAGCCGCACTAGCCTAGGATAACACTGCAGCCTGCATTCTTGTTGTTTTTGCATTCACGTGTATAACTTCAGAGGAAGTGTGCAGTGTGCTACATATAGGTTGTTTGGTCATGCTTTGCTTTGCAATGTTCCCTTTTCTTAATTCTCATGGCTTGGTTCGTTAGGTAATTCAGATATATATGTCCAGTCAGTGGATATGGATTATAATAAAAGAGCTGAAATTGTATCTAAGGAAGAAGAAGAAGATGAAATGATGATGCTTATTTTTTCGACGCTATATTTAGCTTCTATCAGAACTAGAACAAGAACTTCATGTTACACTTCAAAGCTTAGTGGTTTAGAATATACACGTGAACTTCTTGAGGGCCATCCACATCGTTCTTATCATAATTTATGTATGGAGCCATGGATTTTTAAAGCACTTGTAGATTACCTTAGTTCAAGAGGACTTTTAAAGAGTACAAGAGGGGTTACTGTAGAAAAACAACTAGTAATGTTCATGTACATGCTTGTGCGAAATGCAAGTTTTACTACATTATGTGATAGGTTTCAGCACAGTGGAGAGACGATACATAGACATATCGCAGCAACCTTTGATGCAATCTCTTCATTGGCTTTTGATTTTATGAAGCCCCCATCATCTGAGACCCAATGGAAAATATCGACCAAACCACATTTTGCACCTTACTTTCAGGTACATATAACAAATATATGTACTATTTTAAAATTCTTACCTTTTTCTTACATATATACTAATTACAAATAGCACCTCTTCTCTCCCTTGCAGAACTACTTAGGAGCGATAGATGGGACTTATGTTCCAATCAAAATCAGTGCAAGTAAAGCAGCACCGTATCGGAATAGAAAAGAAACTCTTTCTCAAAATGTGATGCTTGCATGTGACTTTGACCTGAACTTCGTTTATGTTTCCACTGGCTGGGAAGGTTCAGCATAAGACGCCGGGGTTCTACGTTCTGGCCTGTCCCACCGCGCCACCGGCACCTACGGCGACTCTCAGGACAGGCGCGGCAAGGTGTAGGGGCAATGGCGTGGCCACCCCACAGCGGCACCGGCGGCGGCGGTGCCCCCTCAGATCCGATCGGCAGGCAGGAGGAGCCTCGAGCGAGATGAGGGGCGAGCAGATCAAGCGGGATGAGGAGCGAGCAGATCAACAAGGTATGCCCTTTCCTCCTCCCTAGCTCGACAAGGTGCGGCTAGGCCATCGAGCTCCACGGCCCCCGACGAAAGCCTGGCCAAACCCGCGTGCTCGGCAGCCCCTGGCGGCGGTGCAGCCCTTGATCTAGCTACTTCAATCTTCCCCTCTCCATCGACATCACAAGGGCGGCTCCCCCTTTCGTGGCTCCAGTCGGGCAAGCAGCAACTACAGCTCTGGCATGCTCAGCCCACATAACAGCCCATCACGCCCAGTGCTTCTCTTCTCGTCTGACCCGTACAAGCTTCCCCTACTCTATCAGATTCCTTGTGATTCAATGATTTTTTTGCAGCATGCTGATACCCCGCTTGAATGTTGCAGTAGTGCTTCTCTTCTTGAATGTTGAATGTTACAATTTCAATGGTGACGTGAAGTTGCAGCCTCCAAGAGCGACCAAGGATAAGGAGAAGTACCATCGGTGACTACTATACACCGGCCACATAGGTGACGATTGCTATAGGACATATCTTTTGTATTTTCTTGGATAAAGATTAAGGTCTGACATCGGCAACTTCTCTAATGTGATCGAAGTTTATTAGTGTCCAGATTGCTATCCGGTGGATGCACAAATCATTTGACATTGTATAGTAAACTAAGAACTAGCTGCTTAGGAAAAATCTTAAAGAGTTCATGACAATTCTGATAGTTATGTTGATCTATTTATCCTTTCTATCTTTACCACATCAATTCTTCTTTCTCTAAAACATACTTGATTACTCGTAAATTCATGGTTAATGCATTAAGTTTTGGATTGTTATAGGTATGGGCAAGGTTGTCGCTCGGCCCTTACCGAGTCGGTGAGCCTACGACGCCGCGCACTCCGTAACGATGTTAATTTCATAAATTTTGCTTTTTGGATTAAATGTCACTTTAACATTTTCACAGTATTGTTATTTTATCGTGCGATCCTTGTGTTTTTAGTACAAAAGTTTTACTGTCCCGTAGCAACGCACGGGCACGCTACCTAGTCTATATAAAACTCAGATCTTCTCTCTCTCCTTAAAAGAATTTCTACATCAATAGAAAAATGTTTATGTAGCAACTTTATTAAATATAGATAAAACTCCCACAATATAAACTTCAGAGCCAGGAAGGAAATAGGAATGGCGTTGCCTTGCCCGTGCGTATTGGTCTCAAATAGGCAAAGCGTCATGTGCAAGCCATCTACAAAAACTTGCCCCGCTACTTACAAGGAAAGAAGATTACAGGAGTAGAAACGTGTGCGCATGTTTATTGTTTTGAAACGAAAAATAAAGAAATGGAAACCTCGAAGGAAGTTTTTGTGCATTTTTTTGTTGGGAAGCTTATACTTTTCGGAAGGAAATTTAAAATTGAGCAGACCATCGATCATGGATGGTGACTTTTGACAAGTTACGGCAAGGGGCTTTTTCTAGTTTCTGTTTTTGGAACAAGGGCTGTGACTGACTGACTGTGTGACGTGGAATTTATTGTTGGTGATGAAATCAGGCATAGCACTCCACATGCTTTGTGGATGTGCTGTTGTAGCCAAGGCTTATAAGCGCCGCAATAGGAAGCCGGTGACGGCGGAGTTGTCCACAACAAATGGCTGAAATGCAACGTGTTTTTAGTTCAGTTTGTTAGGCTCTGCATGCATGTAGATTAGTTGGAAAGAAGAGAGTAATTTGTGAATATTAGTTGGCCAATGGCTATGTCCTTATAAACACTCGGCTAGTCGGTTGAGGAAGTCAAGCAATCAATAATTCCTGTTTATTCCGCTGTTCAGAGTCTCCTAGCGGAGGGCAAGCATTTTTTTCCGAGAACACGACTTCACATGTATTTCATTAAGAGGAAGAAGCAAATTACATTCCTAAATCATCCATAGCGAGATGCCATAGATGAGTAGGAAACCGACTGAGTGCTGAAAACAGAAAGAAGAACACACCATGGCTTGCTAAAGGCTACATTGCAACGGATTATGCGACTAAGCTTAAAACTTCGTACAAGTTGCTTGCAGCGATCAGCACCGAGAGGGCCGTGAACCCCGCCGAGATCCCTAGCTACCATATCATCTTTGGTATCGAAGACTTTCATCTTGCGCCCCACTAATGCATCTGAGCACTATGGCACCCACCTCTTCCTGCCTAGCTCCCTTTGGTAAACTTTATCTTGTAAAAGTCCAAGTCCTTACACCCATTTGCAATTATAGATGGCCAGGGCGACACAAGGCATGATCCGAAAAAGCACGGTCCTAGCATGACCCCGCACGAAAGTCCATAGTGCCAGTGCCGGCAAGGGCATGACCATAGTGCCGTGCCTGGGCCGCAAGTCCGGCCCGTAGCGATGGCACGGGCATAACACGATTAGTGGGGCCGACACTATTCTGGGCCGATCCTTCTCAACCCTAGATATAAATGGCCTCCTCCATCTCCACCTATTCTCAATCTTCCGTCTCATCTGTTTTTCGACGCCATCTCCCAACTCGGGAGTCACGGATGCACTCTGGATCCACCCTTCTTCCCTGGCCCCTCTTTGGCGACGAGGCAGCGGCGTGACACCCTCTCCGCCCTCTTCTTCCCGGCCTCTCTCGGCGGCAAGGTAGCGGCGTGGCCATGCGGTGCAGGGCATAGCAGCATGCGCGGCGGCGAGAAAATGGGATATTTGGGACTCAAGGTGGAGAGTGGCGACGCGACTACAGTAATAGCACGGCATGGACTCGGGCTTGCACGGGCCTAGTGGGCCTAGTGGCCATCTATATTTATAATGACATAGTGTCCAAACGGCTAAGATCGACTTTACACATCGAGTGAATCACACACTATCGTCAATCCACTTACGTTTTTGTCCGCGATTCATGTAAAACCTAAGGTTAGCGGTACATTACAATCTGAAAGTCTTATGATTAGTCCAACCCACCATCACCATGTAAAGTGGAGATGAAACCACCACAATCTCACGTGAATACACAATATAAGTCGTCGTAGGCCAAATTCAAACGTATGGACGCAGGAGAGCGACCTCACAGCATACTGTCACGGCAAATAATTGTCTTTCATTTTGTAGTGTACAGCCACATTCAGATTCGGAGTTCACAAAGACAGAACAAACCAAACAAAACTCACGCTGCACAATTCGAATGTTGGCTCGACACACGCACACAAGTAGACGTATGATCCCTATTCCATCTTGGATGATCCAACGATGGCAACATCTGCCTCGATTAAGCAGCTGCCCTTGACAAGGTACCAGTCCTCGACAGACTTCGTCGCCATGAACTTTGCCCATCCCCAGCCATCGCAGTCCTCTGTCGCTTGGAACTGGCACCGGCCTGGACGCACACAATACATATCCCAAATTCATACTACAGCATAAATAATCGTATCGGTCTGAACATCTGGATCATGTTACAGTAGGAGCAGGTACCGAGTGACAAACCTGTCTTTGTGTTGCGATTGCTGGTCACCTTGTCTTTGATGGATAGACTGACTTCTACCAGCACCCCTGAGTTCTGTAGGGAAGCGTCTCCGTCTGGCTTGGCCATATGCAGGTAGAGGGAGAGGAATTCCTCATTACCGTCGATGCCGGAAGGGTACATGGTCAGGTACCTGAAGGATCAAAGGAGTTAGTGCATCATGGATGAAAGGATAACAACTTAATACTTGCATCTTAGGCTTTATCATTAAATTGAGTATTTATATTTCTTATATTTGTTATTAGCTAGTAGTATGCATGTATGTGGTATATTGGTACCATCTGCGTCCACCGATCTCAAACTCGGGTGAGTAGCACCGGCCCTTCAGGGTTAAGAAGTCATCGATGACCCAGGTGTAGGCTTCCCGGGCGCTGAAGCCATTTATCTTCTGAACATGCAGTGTTCCTGAACTATGCTTGGCCTTAGCAGTGGTGAGCTTGATGAGCTCCACGCCGAAGACGCAGCTGTCGCCAACGATGAAACCGGAGGAGGGTTCCATGAGTGTCTCGATGAGGATCATGCATGAGATCCCGGAGCTTCTGCTGCTTTGTGTAGTCTGGAATTGGTGGCTAACTAAAGCAAAACAGTGCAGCTATCAGCTTAGTAGAGTTCCATGTAGTACCAGCTAGCTAGCCTACCATGTTAGAATGTGATTTCAATCTTACATTCGTGTTCGCTATGTCGTCCGTATGCTTGATCGTATATCAAGAGCTTCAACGATGCTTCGACGATGGTGTCGGGTTTCAGATCAGAAGTTTTTGACAGCACGAGGACAAGAGAAACGTAGTCTCTTTCGTCTCTACTCTTCCGGTCCTTCAGGTTCAACTGCAAGTACCTGCAAACAGGTCAAATCAAAGAGACGAAGGACTGCTCATCAGATGTTTGCAAACATGCATTGCGTTGCATTCAGCAATTCTAAAACTGAGCGGATTTGAAAATGTTCTACTGAAGATGGAAAATATAGCTTTGCGATAGATAGCTCGGTAAAACTAAGGCAAATATATATAGGCACAGTATGGAAGATTACCATTTAAGCTCCTTCATCTCAAAATATCCGGAGTTGGTCCATCCTTTTTGCTTGTCAAGAAGCGAGGAGAATCCATCGATCCTCCATGTGAAGCTGCTCTTTTCTTCCATTTCAGAAGAGGCAGCAGCACGGCCTGCCTGCACCGCCGGAGTAGATGGAATTGCCGCAACCTTTGCGGATTTCTGGTTCTTGCCATGGTTTGATCGACCTGAAAGGAAACCACAATCCATATATGTACAGTAGGTGATCATACCAAGTGTAATAACAGGTGAAATTGCTAGAAGAAGCAGAAAAGAAAGCGAAATCGATGTGTTACCACGAGATGAAGAGGCGCAGGCACCCATGATTGCTTGTTGGAAGAGTTTTCCTGCTCTTGCTTCAGGCACCTATGATTGCACGTTATAAGTACAACTCTCTGAAAGTCTTTGAGAAATTCCGGGTAATTGAGGTGAGGTTTCTTCTTTTTGGCCGCTAGGACCAAAACAAAAGGACAGAACCCAGAGGTCTACGCCACAAGAAATTTCCTAGCAATGGACGCATTACCAGTCTATGGCGTCTAAATTTTATTCAGCTTCATGACCCAGAAAAAAAAAATTCTCTCTGTAACTGAACAGACTTGCACATATTAAATCTTTTATGCCATTTTAGCAAATAGACCTAAAAGTCCAGGTCAACTCTTCTGTGGCTCCCAATTTCCAAAGTTAAGCCGCAATATATAACCACTAAGCAGCAAACAATCTATCTATGATTATCTATCTTGCGTGCGAATGTGTCATCTAGTCATCTGACAGTCACCGCTGCGTTGATGCCATCATCAGTTGCACGGGTGTAATTTTACAGATTGAAATTTCACTGGAAAACGAAGGGTGGCTTGTTAATAATTGGAATCTTTGAAAAATGAAGCCTGACGATAGCGAGATGATTTGTTCTGCTTCCAAATTTCCACACAAGCAGATGCCATTCCAAATTCAGTTTGTCATGGTGACAGGGAATCCTAGCTAGAACTACACATCTCGTCAGTTCTAAAAAGTTTTAGGGGGTGTTTGATCCTAGGACTAAACTTTAGTTCATGTTACATCAGATATTTAGATATCAATTAGGAGGACTAAATATGAGCTTATTATAAAACTAATTGCATAAGTTGTGGCTAATTCGCGATACGAATCTATTAAACCTAATTACTTCATTATTAGCACATATTTACTGTAGTATCACATGGCCTTAAATCCCATGTTTCGTGACCAACAGGGAAATTCTGCTGTCGGAAATATTCTTTTACCAACAGAGAAAAACGTTCAAGGTTTAAAGGTTAACTCCACAGGGACTAAATTTTGCTAGTCGGCTGGCCATCAAAAACTATTTCCTTACAACAATTGTTGACAGTTAGCTTACAGGAAAATATGTATTTGTGAGGTTTTATTTTTTTATCGTCATAAAACCTAGACATGGAAAAACATTAGTAACTTCAGGAAAGTGCATGCCAATTCTGTGTTATAAATCTCTATCTCTATCTCTACCTCTATAAAACATCAGTTAAAATGATCCTACATCTACCCAACAATTACCTACTCCACAGTCATGACCTTAACTACATGCACACCACTGTGTGCACCTAGAAATACACCACCATAAAAATGTGCACACCAGATTAACTCTCGTCCGTTCTGTCTCGTTACTCAACCATATCCGACGGTCATCCTTTAAAGGATCTTCAGGACCCCTCCTGCCTCCCTCACGCTTGCATGCAGCTCGCACCAGGCGGCCACGGTTCGAACCCCCTTGTCTCTTTTTTTCCCAAGAAAAACCCACGGCTTGAGCAACTGCGCAAAGGGGGAAAACACCGCATGCGAGCATGAGGGACTTCCGCCGCCACCGCCTCCACCTCCTGCTTCCTGGCGACGGTGAGCTCTCCAGCTCCGGTGTCCTTCTCCTACTCGTCGGCGATGGCCGGATTTGGTGGCCGCCCCGCAACGCCCAATGCCGCCCACTGCCAGCATCCCCGCAACGCCTAGCACCGCCGACTAAAGATCCGCCGCGCCTACCCTCCCCCACGACCCCACCCCCATCCACCTTCTCTCTCCCTCTGTAGATCTCCTGCACAGGCCTGGCCCTGAGTTTTTTTTACCTAGAACAAAGCTAAACTTTTGGGCCTTCTTATATGAACATGATAATACTACTGGTACTACCCATTGATAGTATATACACACACATTTACAAAATGTTGCTAGTAAGCAGTTAACTGAATGCAAAAGCAATGTTCATATGAAATAATTTGTATACATATTAAATTACCTCAAAAATTTCTTCTAACATTCCTTGATGCGAAGTCATCGATAATGGTTTCAATATCAATCTCATCCAACAATCGCTTCTCAATGCATAATGTTGCCAATCCATTTAACCTCTCTTGCAACATTGTAGATCTCAAATAGTTCTTCAATAATTTTAATTTTGAGAAGCTTCTTTTAGCTGATGCCACAGTCACTGGCACAGTAAACAAGATGCGATAAGCAATGGAAGTATTAGGATAACAATCACCTTATGTAACAAACTCAAAAATCTCCATAGCTATCATGTCTCTTTATGGCAAAGCGGATTGCAGAACCCTTAGCTCAGAAATTAGATCATTCAAATCAATGTCAGATGAGCCATTATGAGAGAAAGATACTGCGAATGTTGTGCAACACAAATTTAGTTCAAGACCATCCAAGGACTTCAAGATTGTTGAACTCATTAAAAACCCAAATATCTCATTAAATGACTCAAGTCGGTCAAATCTACTTTTCAATGATATTTTTGCCATATCAACCATTACCAGAAATTTCACAATGGCAACTATTCTTAATAATACTAGCCTTAAGCGCTCTTTCTCCTTTGAGATTTGTTGTTGCAACTCTTTGTCAATTGTTTGTTGTTTCCGCAGCCTAATTCTCAATTGATTCCATGAGGTCATATTGAAAATGTGCTCAACACTAATTTCATGCTCCTTTAACCTCTCATTGACATGCCTCCAATCTCTAAACCCATCATTCCCCAATGAACTATTGCATTTGTTAGAATTAAAAAGCTTACAACAAAAGCAAAATGCTCTGTCCAAGTGTTTGGAATAAACTAACCATTTTCTATCATGTACCTCTCCATTGCTCATTTTTCTAGAGTAATATGCATTGGAAAAATGTCTATCATTGGCATCCCAAGGGAATTCAAGATTCTCTTCTCTTATAAGCCCCTTCTCAACTAATGTATCCTTTGCTTTGTTATCAAGTTTATCGTAATTTCTTGGATCATAAATATCGATAGAAACTGGATCCTCATCAATAATAGTAAGTTCTGTTTCATTTGAATTAAATACGTGCTCATGATCACTCACATTATGTTCATCCACGTCAATGTTAACATTGTCTTCCATATGGTCCTGATCTTCTGGATTAGTATTAGCTGGTTCCTCTGCAGCAACTATCGCCAATGCATTTGGATCTCTTGAAGTGCTTGTATTACTCTTAAGAAATTTATGAAGAGCCCCTCTCTGTGATTCTACCAAATCATCTATTTGCTTTTTCTTCTTTTTTTTATCGTTGCCAGAAGGATACTTTCTTGATGACATGGTACTGTTAAAATTTAGAGAAACAATTAGTAAATAAATTTTAAAAAGTAGGGATCACCTGAGAAATAATTAGTAATTCAATTTCAGATTCCTACCATGGACGGGCGCGCTCCTGAGCGCAGGTGCGGCGGGATAGGCACAACATCTGGAGGTAGAAGATACGACTGGATAAGGTAAGGTAAGAAAAGATGATGCTCCGGGCAGGGAGGGTAGGAGGGTTGGGAGGGTTGGTGGGCGCCGTCGTGGGACGCTACGGAGTCGCTGGTGATGCGCAGCGCCGGCGCCCTGGGTGTCCACGACGAGGACAGCGATGAGGAGCGGATCGAGATTTGCGGCCCACATCTTGCCACTGCCATGCCTTGCGAATGATTAAGCGTTGATTACCTTTTTTTGTCTCTTGGATTTTTTTCCCTTCAGCTATAGTGCCTTGATTTTTCGACTGCCTCCGTGAAGGAATAGTAGCTTTCCTATGCCTTCTTGCATCTTCTTCTAGGGGATGAAATCCTCTGCAGTCGCTCCCACGGATGGCGCCATGCAATCACCAAATCTCAGCCGCTCATTGTGGATCCAACAGCTACGGGCTCCAACCAAGCTTCCATGGCACGCTTCGTCAGCTGTGCTGGGCCTCGGCCCAACAACAGCATCACGCTACTCAGGTTTTTGGCACTACAACGAGCGTTTTCGGCGTGAGGCTACGGCAGTAGGCGCTCTCTCCATATTTTAGCGCGAGGCTGCAGCAGTAGGTGCTCTCTCCGTATTTTGGTGCGAGGAAAAGCCTAGAGGGGCGATCATCTAGAGCTGGAGCTAGGTCGCCTTCGAGGGCTGGTGTGTCGCTCTTCATTCTAATTTGTGCATGTGTGCTCAAATTGCAAAGTGCACTGCTCTTTTCTCTTCTCACCAATCTTACCAATATTGCAAGGGTTAGGTCCTAATTTGGTTGCTTTTGTCCTATACCAAAACAAAATCTGCATATTTTAGATAGAAGATTAAAGGAGACATCAACTTGCCCATATTGAAATCAAATCTGCATATTTGACATGGAAGAAAAAAGGTTTGTAATGCCATGGATGTTTCTTGTTCTCCACAAAATTAGATAGACTTCAGTTCCTTTACCACCAAATCAAATACCATTGTCATAATTATTTTTTCTTACAGTAGGGAGGGTTTGCTTCCTAATTTGTTACCTCAAGTTGGAATGGAGTTCAGTACTATAGATGATGCTTGAATGTATTGGATTAGCTATGGAGGTCAAAATGGTTTTGAGGTTAGAAAAAGGTACGCAAACAAAAGAAAGACAGATGGGAAGGTTCGGTCCTGCACATATGTTTGTGCAAATGAGGGTCATAGAAAACAGGATAAAAGGGATCATGTAACAAAGTGTCCAAGAGCTGAAACTAGAACTGATTGTAAAGTTCGCATGGGTCTTGTAATGGATCGAGAGAAGAAAAACTATAAGGTGTCTGATCTGATTTTGGAACACAATCATGACCTTCATTTGCCACAAACCTTCACTTGATGGTGTCTCAAAGGAAAATTTTAGAGTTACAAGGTTTTGAAATTGAGACAGCTGATGATGCTTGAATTGGTCCTAAAGCTGCACATGAATTGGCTAGTCTCTAAGTTGGTGGCTCACTTAATCTAAGTTACATACTCCGTGACCACAAGAATTATTTAAGAGGCAAGCGCCAACGAGAGATGGCGTATGGTCAAGCAGGAAGCATGCTTATGTATTTTCAAGAT